GCCAGTCCAGCAGCCACGTATTTGCCTCCCTCTGAAGACAGCAAGGTCACCACACCAGAGGCAGCTGTGTGGCCCTTTCTACTACTGTTCCTTTTGAAATCCTCCTGCCTGGAGGCAAGGGCACCTACAGTGATGGTGACATGTGTTTGTGACATGCAGCTAAGACGGAAGTGTGCCCAGGGCTCAAGTCAGTCACCGAAGGTACACTGGAGAGTCAGCAAGCCATTTTACTCCATGCTCCAACCTGTTCATGCAAGCATTCACTCAGGCATCAAGCTTTTATTATGTAATGCAAAAATGGAGGGAGAATTGAGCATTTCTTTCATACCTTGTACCACCCCACTCCTGCACTGACCTCCTCCCCTACGCATGAGACTAAGCGTGTCACTGTTCCACACGCCAGAGTGCCCACACTGTCCCAGGGACTTCTCCTAGGTTGGGATGCTATCACACATCATGCTATCAGAAAGACCCCAGGGTCTTGAGTCAGGGAGACGTGGTTTGAACTCTTCCTGCTTCATTCTCTTTCCAGCTGTTAAGTCACTTAACCTCCCACGAGCCATAGTTTCATCTGCCAAGTGTGGGGAAATAGTGGGATCCATCACATAGGGTGGCTGCGAGAATAAAATACCATTAGACATGTGGGACTGGAGAGGAGGCTCGGCAGTTAAGAGCACTGGCTGCTCTTCCAGAGGACCCAGGTTTGATTCTTAGCACCTACATGGCAGCTCACAGCCACCTGTAACTCCAGTTCCAGGAGATCCGGTGCCACCTTCTGGCTTCTGTGCACACTACATACGTGTGGTGCACAGACATATGCAGGCAAAGTGCTCATATACATAAACAGTACATGAAATCTCCAGAATAATTTTATACCATTAGACGCATGAGATGTTTACTATGGTTAATACCCAGCTGGGTATTGAAGCCTGTTAGTAAATGTGTAGCCAGATATGGTCACTGCACCTGTAGTTCTAGGCTTTGAGAGGCTGAGGCAGGAGGGTCAGATGTCCCAGGCCAGCCTGGGCTAGAAAGTGAAACCTTATCTCAAGGAAAACAAAACTCTGTTGAGTTGAACTGATGTGCTCTCCCCTGGGAAGCAAGAGATCTGGGTCCTGGTTAAAGAAATGTGTGTATGGATAAGTCACTGCCCTTCTCCAATGTTCTGTTTGCTTGACTGAAATTACAGGGGTCAGATTACTGTAACGCCAAGCGTTAGATCCTGTCATCTTCACATGGAATCAGGGACCTGGGCACCCAGAGACCATCTCCAGCCACCCTCAAGGCAGACATCACTAGCTGATCAGAGAATTCCAAATTCCATGCTGGCCTTGGAATCATCTCACAAGGCTCCTTGGAGGCATCACCAATCAAATCCGAATTGACAGTTGAGATTAAACTGACTTTTCATTCCTGGCCAGTTCCCTGACTGGACAGGACACAGCGTAAGGAGGACAGGAGAGGACACAGTCAAGGTGAAGTGTCTATCTGTGATGGGTCTGAGGGTGGGGACACAAGGAATGTGGGGCCAGGACCCAGTGGGGAAAGAACACTGGGCCACAAAGTCACAACTGTCACCCTGTCCCACACCGACCCCCCTTTGCAGGGGAAGCTTGGTCCAGCTCTGAGGAGAACTGAGGATGGGGAAGGGGGCTGGCTGCATGCCAGGCAGCCTCTTCCTTACTTTTTGAAGAGTTTTGATGACGGTATCAATTTTGCCCGGGGCTGCGACTCCTCCACCTTAAGGGAGAGGAATTTGAGACACAGCTCATTGCCATAAGGATTCACAACTCCTCGCGGTCACTCCTGTGTCACCGCTGGTTCATGCCTCAGTGCCCTCTGTAGAGCAGGGGTAGTGGCCATGCCCACCCTGTATGTCATCCTGCTTGTGAAACCTCCACTACTTTCCCCAACATCAGAAAGCAGACAAGGAACTCTGTGTACACACTCCCATCAAATTCCTTAAGTCTGCTCTCCTGAGGCCCTGGGTCATGGAGGGAGAATGGCTGTGCCATCTCTGCCTGGAGCCTCCTGTCCTTAGATCCCATCTCTGACCTCTCAATATACTAAGGGTCTAGTAAGTGAGGTTAACTCTACCCTGATTTGTATCAGGAGAAATCAAAGCATTTAACAAGTTACACTTAAGTTACACCCTGCCTCTGTCGCTGTTGGAACTGACCATACTGGGCCATAACTGTCCATGCTCACCTGAGGTCCCAGCCATTCTATGGGCACGGTCATACTGAGGGTCATCCTTAACCGTAAAATTGGACAGCCAGGGAAGGAAGCACTCATCCCATAAGCCAAAGGCACTCATTTCCACCCGATGCCTCCCATCCAGACCTAATTGCAGTCGACACTTCCTGCAGGCTGGACTTTGACAGAAATGCTGCTGTTACGTAAGAGGTTACATAAGTCAGCATCCAAGACATGTCTCGTGTTAACAGCTTCCAGCAAGCTGCTGTACCCTAAGTGGCTTTTACATGTCCCTCAAGTCGGAGTGGTTGGGTGCAGAGCTGGGGTGGTCAGAGTAAGCCAGTCCACTGGGCAGATAGAGTCCCTGGGGGAAATTAGGTCTGGCCCTAGTCGACAGCTGTCAGGCCACAGCATACTGGGATGTCACAACCAAAGACTGGTGTGCACTGCCAGCAGCGATCTGTCATTCCTTGCCCATGGACAGTGGCTCTTTGACAGACAGACGGTAATTATGACATCTGGGAGACAACATTTAACACCCATTCCCTTCCAGTCTTAGGTCAAGTAGGATTTTGCATTGCTGAGATCAGGGGTTACAGGTCTCAGAACTGGCAATGGGGGCTCCTCAGCACACAGGATGGGGCCCTGCTCTCTGATTGGCTTGGTCCCTCAGCTCAGCTCACTTGCCCTTGGTGGAGCTTGGCAGAGACTCCTACCTGGTTGCAATTAGGAGATTGCCCCCTGCTTTAAGTGCCACCACGCTGGAGAAGCAAGACAATCATCTGTGGTCCAGTCACAGCAGCTGTTAAGTGTCTTTTGCAAAGGACATCTCTGCTTCCACGATTCTAGAACAAACCTGCAGCCAAATCCTCACTGCCCTTACCTGGCTAGAGATGGGCAGCAAACAAAGGAAACAAGAAGTTGTTTCCAGTCAGCAGGATGCAAGCTGTTCAGTGGAATGGATAGTTTCTTCTGGAAACAAGAAACCACCCTCTGACAAGCCTTGGTGACAGCACACATTAAGAGCTTGTTTGGGCCATGCTTGGGTTCCACCACTGAGCTATCCCTTCCCACCCCAAGCCTAGAAAGACATTTTAAAATTGGATTCCCACAGAGCCCACTAACCTGGGAAGCAAGGAGACAACACTACAGTAAAGGACACATGCAGTCCACCATCTTGCCATCTGACAGGAAGCCGATCCACTGACAGCAACATTCTCTGGAGCAGCCTTGTTCCAGGAATAAGGCCCACAGGTCCCAGGCCAGGTGCTAACTGACAGGGCATAAAAGGGCTGGATATGTGAGCCAATGCTCCAGCATGGTGGGAGATAAAGGGATAGTTCCAGGTACTTGGGATCTGAGGGGAGCTATCAGGAGCCTAAGCCAGTGGCCACAGGACCTCAGAGATTATCTCCAGCAGAGTGTATAAGAGTTTGGAGTAGAAAGGATGGTGCCCGCTCATACCTGTCAGGGCAGGCTGGGACGATGCGGCAAAATTTCCCCTTCCAAGTCCCTGGGGATAAAAACAGCAATGGCATGGCCCTCAGTCATGCAGAGAAACAGAGCACGAGGTGGGTGCCACTACAGGTATCACAGCCTTACATACCCCTGTCTGTTGTGCTCAGAGAACATGTGCTGGTCTGGGTGTCTGAACTGCAGCTCATTAGCCCTGGGCCATCTCCGGAGGAGGACTCCTCAGGCCACTATAGACAGGTGCTCCATTCCCACAGTAGCGGTCTCTTGACACCATTCCTGATTGAGGGTGTGTAGCCATTTTCCATCTGCCATTTAGGCTACGGTATGAAGGTGTGGGCCGGTATACAGACAGGGACGGGAGGAGGAAGGTGGCAGAAAGACAGGGAAAGGGGAGGAGGGGAGGAGAAGAGGTGTATGTTGTACAAGGAACTAGCTGGCGGCAGGGAGACCCTGCCCAAGAGCACTTCCCGGGCAGCCTCATTCACCATGTGGCTATCGGCCTCACCTTCTCTCTGGGCAGTTAGTGGGCAGGGCCAAGGCGGCCTGGGCTCCCTTGCTTGCTCCAACTGAGTGGCCCTGCTTGCAGCCCTGCCGGCGTTGGCACGGTGACAGTAGCCAAGTGTGCAAACTTGTGCCATTGTCCCTGGGCCAGGGGGAGCCATGGAGACTAGCTAATATGACACAGGAAAATGTTTGCTGATGGCAATTCTATGGGCTTTGTCCACCTCTTTCTCCATCATGACGACTCGATTTAAGTCCCTAACTGTTTGACTACAAATGCAAGGGGACCGTGCAACGCCACCCTTTTGTCCGGCCGCACTGAATGGGCAATTCAGGCTTTGTGCAGCTCAATTGAGGAAGCAGACATAAAGACAAGATTCCTGAGAGCCCCGGCTCCCTTCCCATGGATATGCCAGCACCGCTCAGCTAGCCGTCCCGGCTACCTTTCCCCACATCAGTGCACCTCTCGACCCGTCCCAGGGGACCCTTGAGGAAGGGTGGCGAAAGAGGCAAGAGACAGGAGGACGGACAGAGTCAGAGAGCACACGCTCAACACTCAAGGGCAGAGGGAAAGCAGCCCACCCCGGCTTACCCCATCCGATTGTCTGTCTGCACTGGAGCATGGCAGCTGGAGGCCTGGAGTGTCTTGGGGAGGTTGGGTGCCTGTCTCCACTGCATCCAGCCCTCCTTGATCCTGAACATTTTGCACACACACACATACACACACATGCACCCTACTCCAAGAAACCAGGGTACCGAGGTCAAGGGGAGGGGGTGGCGTAGAGGCCAGGGAAAGTGGGGCTGAAGGGTAGAAATTTACCGGGAAATGATTGCATTTGGGAGCTGTCTTTTTTGTGTGATGGTCCCCATGGTGACAATTTGTGAAGGCAAAGAATGTGGGACCGGGGCTCCGCCGCCTGATTGGGATGCTTTGTATCTGGAGAGGCGCTCCTGATTGGCCTGAGGGCCCCCCAGCTCCGGACTTGTCCTCCATTCAGCCCACTCAAGGGCTGCACAACTGCTTCTCACCCTGCACGGAGCTCGCTGCACGCCAGCTCGCCGGGCTGGCCTGGGTCTACGGTGGGGAACCTGCCGGCCACGTTGGCGGGGGTCCCAGCCTGCACCTTCGGTCAGTGTGGAATCCCAGGTGGTTTGGCGAGGCTGGGTGGAGGGTGTGAGCGGGCTAGGGCCTTGGGGGAGGGGCACAGTGCTGTGGGTGGCGGCCGAGGAGGCATGAAATCGCTGCAGATGGTTCTATAGGAGAGTCCCTGCTGCCGGCAGCCTGAGATGAGCCTTGAAGGCAGGTCTAGATTAAGTGCTAGACAGGGATCCTGCCTGGCCCTGTGTGAGAGTTGGGGGTGGAGCGTGGGGACGGCAGAGGGGGCGGGGTGGTGGGAGGGGGAGGCCACCATCAAGGAGGGGGAAAGAGGCTTGGCCTTCTGTAGAGAATTTCTTTGGCTCGGAAAATAAAAACTTGATGGTGAGTTGTGCATGCTAGCCTCCCAGGTATGTGGGAGACGCGGCCAGCAGGGAATGCGGCCCCAGCAATGCCACTTGTTAGCTGGATAGCTTTGAGCAAGGTGCTTGCTTTTTTTCTGAGCCTCGATTTCCAGGGGAGGGCAACAGACCCTAAGAGACATGAAATAGCTGGCACCAGTCTCATCTCAGTCAAGAAATGCTGCATGACTCACCAGGTGTCCCACTGTGAATTCTGTTGGGGACAGAAGGGTGCCTGGGTGGCGAGCTTTCTGCATTCAGTCCTGGTGGCCCTGGGGAAGGTGTAACTGCCCCGAGAGACTCCAGCTGCCTTTTGTGTTCCCTAGGTCTGCCCTGTGCTCTCTCTGGAGCTGCCAGCCCCCAGCAGAGCCCGCACTCTTCATGGAAAGCCCCGCACAGTTCCCGTGGTGATGGCAGCTGACAGCGATGTGAAGATGCTACTGAATTTTGTGAACCTGGCGTCCAGTGATATCAAGGCGGCCCTGGACAAGTCTGCACCCTGCCGCCGCTCTGTGGACCACCGCAAGTACCTGCAGAAGCAACTCAAGCGTTTCTCTCAGAAGTATTCCAGGCTCCCTAGGGGCCTGCCTGGCAGGGCCACAGAGCCTCACCTGCAAAGGGGGCCTGAAGACAGGCCCGGGCAGCTGCCCCTCCATCCCTGTCCAGAATCCAGCCCTGGCGGGGGTGGGAGCTACAAGGAGAAGGCCCTGGGGACCCCCTTCAGGGAGGAGTGCCTTTCTAAGGAGCAGAGCTTCCAGGGGCTGAACCCAGAAGCTGCTAGATCTGGCCAGGTGCCCATGAGGAAGAGACAGCTGCCTGCTTCATTCTGGGAGGAGCCAAGGCCCACCCTCAGCTACCCAATGGGGCTGGAGGTGGGCCTAGCCCCCAGGGAGGCATCTCTGTATGAGAATAAGAAAAATTGCAAGGGTCTGGAGTCCCTGGGGCCTGAGACTGCTCCATTGCCCATGTCCCCAAGAGTGCTGGCTGGCACAGAGCCACTCAAGATGTCTGGGGTATCCTTGGTAGGCAGCCTTGATGCCTGGAGCTACTGCCCATTCCAGTACCATGGACAGCCCATCTTCCCCAGCCTTCCAGGGGTCCTACCTCAAGGCCCAGTACCCAGTCTGGGCTTGTGGAGGAAAAGCCCAGCCTCACCTGCGGAGCTGGCCCACTTCTGCAAGGATGTGGACAGTTCAGGGCCAAAAGTGTACAGACCTGTGGTTCTGAAGCCTATTCCCACTAAGCCAGCAATGCCTCCACCCATCTTCAATGTCTTCGGCTACCTCTAGAGGGACGGCCTCAGCCCCCCTTTTTTGGCCTTCAGGATGGGGTCTCTGATAAGCTCTCCACATGAGAAGGGAGCTAGGCAGGGGTCTAGCCAGGCTGCCTCAGGGAGGGGGCCCCTCAGGCACTGGTTGACTCTTGCAGGCTGTGGGACCAGGCACAGGAGCCCTTTTCCCCAGAAGACTCTTCTCCCTGTCCCTGTGGAGACCATGGGCACTGGGACCCTAGTCTGGCAGCAGCCCATTACACACCTGTTCAGCTGCCATCTTCTGGGGGCTGGGGGGCATCTTACTTGTTCTTTTTGTTCTTTGTAAATATTGAGAAAGTTAAAAAAAAATAAAGATTTCTTTTCCAGTTTCCACCTCTTGGGTGTCATGAAGTGGAATAGTTTCCAGATGCAGGGTCGGTATAGAGCATGGCTACAGGGGGGAGTGGCTGGAAGCCTCGGAGATAGCTGGAGATGTATCCTGGGAGCCATGGCTCAATTCACAGGAAACAGGTGGGAAAGGATGGGGAAAGACCTTGGGGAAGGATGCTTGGTCCAGACATCTGAAGAAAGAGGTGTGCAAAGCCTGGATCCCCATGGCCCATGATGCTCTGTCCCAGGGTTAGCTGTTGGGCTAGGTGACTTCCTGAGTAGCATTGGCCGAGGCATACTCTAGTGTGTCTGGGCTACACAGTTTATCAAACCAGGGTCTTCGCCTGGTGCTGGACAAGCCTTGGTTCCCCACATAGGGGATCCAACAGGTGTGCTGATCCTTCTACACTATCTCCTTCATGGCCTGCCTCTGAGTTGGTCCTCGGATAACTCTGTTGTGAGATATATTGTGTAGTAACAAATAAAACCTGAAGGATCAGAAAAGCAGAGGGATAGCTTCCTACCTCTTCAGTTCCTTGGTCCAAAAGGGTCTAAATCCCCTCTCTGCCCCAACTTATCACTTCCTGTCTCCTCTCCATACCAACCTGCAGGCCTCTATGGTTAACCAGTGGCTAGCTCAGCCCTCTGACTCCAAGCAAGCTTTATTTGTCAGAGTACAAACAAAATATCACACAGCATAACTCCACATCCAGGGTTAGAAGCTGCACTTTGATCCTAGGCTACTTTCCCCCAGGTTCCACCAGGGAGTCCACCGGAAGTGCAGCTGGCTAGGGAAGTGTGGGCAGGATTCCAGGATTCCTGGGCTTTCTGGCCACAGGCATCAGAAGATTTCAGAGTCACAGACACTGACATAAGTCATTTTCTGACACGCATGTGGGAGGGGCTGGTCCTTAGCCTATGCTCAGTCTTAGAGAACACTGAGGGGTCAGGAGCAGGTGTGTACCCTCTCTTACCCCAGAGCATCAATGCTAAGACCCTCCGAATCCATGCAGTGGTCACCAGCCTCCTCCAGACTGAGCAGCAGCAGCTCCAGTTCTGTCATCTACTAATAAGTTACTTGTCTATGCTGAGATTTCCTCACCCAAAAAGTGAGATTGGACACAGACCTTTTACATGGGCTGTTGTATGTGTGAAATTCCTGTTTTTTATGAGAAGTCATCTCCTACACTTAGGCACCTGGAGGTCCTTCCAGGCTGGCAGGTTAGAAACAGTCATAGATCATGCTGCCTACTGCAGTGAAGGCGCCGGACTCCACTCCATCACCCCACTCTCAGAGCAGGAGCAACCCTCAAGTCCCATATTCCCAGGTGCTACTGAGCCCCACTCTGCCTGAGTCCTGGTTCTACACCAGCCACTCCCTGCTGGGGCTTGGCTTCCCCAGGGGAACCCGCAAGATGCATTGCTTCAACCAGAAGGCTTCGTTTAAAAGCAGAACCTGGAACTGGAGAGATGGCTCAGTAGTTAAGAGCACTTACTGCTCTTGCAGAACCCCCAGTGTTGATTTCCAGCACCCACATCAGAAGGCTTAGAGCCCGCTATAATCTGACACCGGGGATCTGACACCCTTGGGCTCTGTGGAAATCTACACACACACACACACACACACACACACACACTGTACATAAACCCAAACAACTTTACGCATGAAAATAAATATTTAAAAATCTTTTTAAAAAATAAAAGCAGAAACCTTTAATGAGACAATACCCTACAGGAACTCAGGGCGCCAGTCCCCTTCCTATGGGAAGCAGCTGCAGGGAGCACACTGAACATCTGGAGAGACTTGACACTGGAGAGGGAAAAGCAGCCTTAGTTGCAGCAGCAGATACACCCCCAATCAAAGAGCAAGGTGGGAGCTGAGAACGTGGCTCGGCGGTAGGTGCAACGCTTGGCTGCCATGCACAAAGCCCTGGCCTTGCTTTCCATCATTGCAAAAGTAAGTAAAAAGCAGGGAGGGAAGAAAACAAGGAAAGAGGAATATCAAGTTGTGTTGGTGTGGCTCCAAGTAAAACCCAAAGCCAGTACAGGGGCTCCCATTTTTTCCCAGCCTTCTGTTCCTGCCCTCCTTAGTGCACATTCTCAGGCTCTTGCATTGCAACTGGGGTGGGACTTCCAAAATGCTGTTTGTGATACTGTGTGACATCTCTGTGGCAATCACCCTTGCTGTGCTTGGTGTCACAATGGTGTCCAGAGTGACCCCCCCAAGCACTGATCAGCCATCACTGCACCACTAGGCCAGGCCTCAGCCTAGACTTAGCATCGGGGTTGTGAGGAGACAGAGGCGGGTGTGGTGATTTGAAAGAGGATGCCCCCCAAAGGCGTGGCACTATTGGGAGGTGTGGCTTTGCTGGAGTGGGTGTTGCCTTGTTGGAAGAAGTGTGTCATTGGGGAGGTGGGCTTTGAGGTCTCATATATGCTCAAGCCACACCCAGAGTCTCAGCTCATTTCCTGTTGCCTGTGGATCAAAGACGTAGAATTCTCAGCTCCTTCTCCAGCACCACGTCTGCCGGCATGCCACTGTGCCCCACTGTGATGATAATGGACTGCACCTCTGAACTGCAAGCCACCCCAACTAAATGTTTCTCCTTTATAAGAGTTGCCATGGCCATGGTGTCTCTTCCCAGCAATAGGAACCCTAACCAATACAGTGGGATCTGTGAAAGCTCAAGGTTAGCATTGGTGCTGTCCAAGCCAGGGTGCCTGACAACAAATAGATGGCAATGCCAAATGTGGTAGCTGAGTTCCTTCCACCCCTCTGCCTCCTCTGCTCCAGGGGCACCCATTCAGCCCAACACCTGTGCTTCTCAGGTGGGTGCGTAGTTGCCATCTGGTAGGACCCCAGATTGTATGAGGGCCTTGCAGGGTCCTAGCACCGGCCTGTCCATATCCCAAACACCTCAGCCCTTGCCTCCCTTCTGATTGCTTTGCCTGCTGGTTAAATATCATCAGGGAACCTTGGCCTGAACTACACTCAACAACATCCCCTGCACCTTTGAGGCTAAGCATCCCCAGCAGAGAGGATGTAAGCTTTCCTCTTGACTTGCTCCAATGAAACATCAAAGGAATGCAGCCGAACACAAAACTGGAACCAAGCCCACAGGAATTTGCCATGTACGCTCAGGCAAATGTCTTCCCCTCTCCAACCTCTATCTCATCATGGTCTTGAGGGTGTGGGTAAGATGCTGTTTAGCCCTCCTCAGAGGTTTTCCCACTTCTTACTGACCCGAGGATCTACTCATGAAAACCAGGGATGCCAGAGGCAGCAAGGCCAGCAGGAGCCACCTGGCCCACTGTGCAAAGAAACCAAGGCCCAGAAGAGAAAGCCAGAGTCAGCCTGAGTCATCACTCCTCTACTGATCCAGAAACCACCCTTGACCTTGCCGAAGACCCTCAGAGACAGAGGCTAGGCTGGGGCAGGGTTTCCGCAAGAGGACCTGTTCCATTGGTGCTGAAGATTGACCTGGCCTGGGAAGCAGTGTCACTGCCCTACAGAGAGGACATGGAAAATTTGGTGCCACTCCTGTGAAAACAGTACATGCTGGGTTCCTGCATCCCAGAGACCTTTGATCAAGGATGATGACAACACCAAGCCTCGGCACTCACCTGTGAACAGGACGCCTTCTCTCACGGGAACATGGTGCCCAGGGATTCTGTGCTCCTCAGGCCTGGAGAGACTGAAGGGAGACTTACAGAACAGAAAACTAGTATCTAACATTTATTGTACTCAAAGAAGCACTTGGACTGAGGGTCCCCCCTCCCAGCCTGAAAGCTCCGAGTCCAGTGAGGGATTTACAGTTGGGCAAAGTAATCTCAGGTGGATGAACTCATTCCTAGAAGTTCTCCAGCTGAAGGCCAGGATTCCTGTCCGAGCCACCTTTCCCAGACCAGCTCTGCCCTGGCCCCAGGTTGAAGGTCTCTGGCAATGCCCAATGACAGAGCAGGCAGGTCTGTGATCCATTCAACAGTTTGAAACTAGAGGTTCCCTGCCTACTCCACACATCGGGCTCACTTGGGGCAAAACTCCAGTACAGAGACCCAGCAAGATCACACTCTGCAGCCTCGTTCTGACCCCCGGTGATCCTGGATGCAGGCCACCTGAGGTGTCATGGAAACAGTCTGAAGGCCACATCGCCTCCCAGGCTGGTTACTGGGTGTTCTCATATTTCAGGTATCTGATTAGCCTTCCCGGGAGCGGCAGTGTATCCAGCAGCTTTATGCGGTATTTTCCTATGGCCTTCCGAACCCGCAGCCGGCAGAGGTGAGCCAGAGGTCTTGGAGGTTCTAGAAAGAGGAGAAAATGGGAGATGCAAGCTTGCCATTTGCACTGAGCAAGGGGTGTGGCCTGTGGGTTCAGCCAGTGATGTGGCTGGGTCCAAGATGGGTGGATACTTGTTGCTGGGAACATCCCTGGCAAAGCCAGGATTAGAAAAGCGCATTTATACCTTAAACCTGCACGGGTCTGCACAGCCCAATGTGAGCAGGGTAAATGTCACCGTTGATTCTTCTCCTCACATGCAGCCTGGACCCCCAAACAGCCTCCACAAATTGGTAGGGATCTGATCTCTCGGGCATACTCTCGCATAGGACTGGTTTGGGGCTCCTGCTGTCACTGAGAAGTCAGATGAAGTGGGCAGAGAGTGGCAGCAGCACTGGAGACTCCCACTTGGTTGCTCCCAGGCACCCCTG